GTCAGATTGCACACTGTGGCTTCAAGAGGTTAATTAAAAAATCCCAGAACCTAGGAATTAGATTTGCCTTATTCTGAACTTTAGAAGGGAAGATCTTTAAGAATGATTCGAGATTTTATCTAACAATTTCACTTGGTTTAATGAAGCCTGATCCAGAAATACGGTTAACTTTTTCATTTAGAATGAAAGCTGTGACTTTCAGATATAGCTGCAGGCTCCTAACTGCAGTAGCTGAGAAAGCCATGATCCTGCGGGAAACCAAATTTAATTTCTTTCCTACCAGGGAATGTGACCCACAGGAATTGTTCTTACTGCTCTACGGGCAGTCCGTACCTACATGTGACATAAGCGGACTTAACTGTCAAAGGCCGTGCTGAAAGAACACTTTGTTTAGTCTGTTGCAATTTGTAATCAGCTAATATTCCATCAGTCCCCTCCAAATATGATAAAAATGTTAACTATCTTTAGGAGAGGAGGAAATGATTGATAACTCTCTTTAGTACACACGGTTCACACCTGTGCATTCGCATTTAAACTATTTTAGAAAACGGTGAAAGCATGTGCTTTTTTTCCATCCGAGGCAGAAAGTTAGAGTTGTCAGTTTGAAATAGGTAATGTGAAAAATCATTAGTGTGTCCCTGTATCCTGTGTAATGTGACATCGGTTGGCTGCTCTGTCATCCTTACTGGGAAAAATAAAACCGCACTCAATTCATTTCTTTGTACCAGCTCCTGAATGATGTCCTCTTCAAATATATAGTAACTTGTTTGAACAGGATGCATTCGGAAAGCTGGCAGGCTGGCAGGTCTCTGTGGGTAAGATGATAGGAGTGGTAAGGAGGGAGAGGTTAAGGCTTTGCTTCATTCCAGTCAGCGGTGTAGAGTGGATGGGGAAACTGAGGGCAAGTTACTTTGCCTTTTCATTGAAAGTTTATCTGCTTTTCTATTTCCCCCTGTGGACGAGTGGCATGCAGCCTGGCGCTGTGGCTCACACCTGTAATCCCAGCACTTTGGAGGCTGAGGTGGGTGGATCACCTGAGGTTAGGAGTTTGAGACCAGCCTGGCCAACATGGTGAAACCCCATCTCTACTAAAAATAAGAAAATTAGCCGGGTGTGGTGACACGCGCCTATAATCCTAGCTGCTTGGGAGGCTGGGACAGGAGAGTCATTTGAACCCAGGAGGCGGAGGTTATAGTAAGCCAGCATCACACCATTACAGTGCAGCCTGGGCTACAGAGCGAGACTCTGTCTCAAAACAAACAAACAAAAAAGAGTGGCATGTTTATCAAAGGGGGTGCTGCATCTCTGTCTGCAGATGTGTGTGTAGCGGGCACACACGACACAGTGTGCTGTAGTGTGAGCCTACCTCGTCTCCTTCCTCAGCTTGAAAGGATGACGATTCATGTTCTGACATGCCACGAGCATTGTCTGCACAGCTGCACTCAAAATGACATTAAATATAGGTCAAGTGGAAGATACTCCTTAAGAGAAGGCCGAGTCAGTGCTTAAATAATTTGACCATTGGCGCTCAGAAGTTACCCTGGTTTTTCTGTCATGGAGGGAGTTTGGTTTCTGCCCCACATTAAACAGTAGGAGCAAATTTCAAGTAGAAGGATGTGAACACAGAGACAAAAAGGTTCTTTTGGTGTCTTTGTTAATGCTATAATAGATTTTGATGCCCATGGCCTAAACTTTTTTCCTTACTAATACAGTGGTCTGATGTGTGTGTTGCTCAGCAGGTGATGCCCTTCCAGGTGGTGATTCAGGGGCCCAGGCCTTCCTGAGTTGTGCCGTAAGTTGTCTCCATTTCAGCGTGTGTGTGCGTGCGTGCGTGCACACGTGCACACTTCTGCTCACATTCTATTAGCTAAAGCCCAGAGAGCCACACCCTAAGTGCAGGGAAAGCTGAGAAATATGTTCTGCATGTGACTTCTCTGGAAGAGGAGGAAACGGATTTGTCAATGGTAGATGATGCCAGGGATTTTCACACTTCACCTGCATCAGATTACCTGGAAACTTGTTAAAACACAGCTTCCCGGGCTCCTCCCCCAGAGTTTCGGGTTCAGCAGGGCTTGGGTGAGGCTCAAGATTTCCCGTTGCCAACAAGATCCCAGGCGATGTTGTTACTGCCGGCTTGGGGATCACACTTTGAATAGCTTTGGTTCTGACACAGTTTTGCGTCTTCATTTATTCATGCTGTTCATGAGAACCAAAGATCGCTTTATTTAAGAATGACTTGAGAGGGAAGAGGGAAGAAGGGTAGAGTAGGTAGTAGTCTTGGCCAGGCCATCTGAAATGTTAAAAATAATTCAAAGTGGATGATGTCTTAGAGGAGCTGGAGCTTTGGAGGGCTGCGACCTGGGCAGTGCTGTGCCAATGAGGTGCCTGCGCCTTGCTCCCTGGCAGGAGCCCTAAGTAGGGCCCTCTGTTGCCAGGCAAGGGAGCTTTCAGCTTCGTTATCTCTGTTGGAGCAGGGAGGTTTGGAGAATGAAGTATGTAAGTAGGTCCCAGAGAAGTGACATGGAGAAGTTACAAGGAAGGACTTGAGTGAGAATCAAGGGGTTTGTGCTTGCCGGAGTAGACCCAAGCCTGGACTTTGGACACAGAAGAGTTGGACTTGGATTTTTAATCTCTTCAAGTCTCAGGATTTTTGCTACGTGGGGATAACATCTATTCGGTTAAGTTGTTGTGAGAATCAACGAGGTTAGAGATTCGTAAACTTTCCTGGTTGGTGGTGCTTCTAGGTTAAAATAAACATCTAACAGATTCATTTTTTTTTTTTTTTTTGAGACGGAGTTTCGCTCTTATTACCCAGGCTGGAGTGCAATGGCGCGATCTCGGCTCACCGCAACCTCCGCCTCCTGGGTTCAGGCAATTCTCCTGCCTCAGCCTCCTGAGTAGCTGGGATTACAGGCACGCGCCACCATGCTCAGCTAATTTTTTGCACCATTAGTAGAGACGGGGTTTCACCATGTTGACCGGGATGGTCTCGATCTCTTGACCTCGTGATCCACCCGCCTCGGCCTCCCAAAGTCCTGGGATTACAGGCTTGAGCCACCGCGCCCGGCCCAGATTCATTTTTTAAGTGGTGCGTTCCAGACAACCTCGTGCATATTTATGTCTAAACAACTCAGTAGCTGTTTGAAAAAATAATGCATATTAATTTAAAGAAAAATATTTTAGTTTCTTAAATAACCACAATTACCTACTAATGGGATGTGTGAACCTGTGGGTACTACACAGCTTCTCAAACCTTGGAACCATACCGGACATGGCTGTTCTGTTTTCCTGTTCTATGTCAGTGTTTTTAAAATCGCAACACCTGCTGAAACTCTTTGCAAAAATAAGATGGCATCAAAAAGAATGCAACAGTGAAAGGCAATATTAAAACTGTGAAAGCTGCCTGAGTTAGTAGTACAGATGGTATCTGACCTATGTTGAATCTCGCCATGTAGCCCTCAAAAATGTAAAAGAGATTGGCTCCGTCGGTTCACTGTATGAGCTGGGTGCTTTGATGTGTGGATGGAAAAAATGTGGGATTTAGTAGGGTTTTCTTTTCTTTATTCATTCCTTTCACAAATGGTAACTGAGTAGCAGTGAAGTATCAGGCACAGTGCTGGGTGCTGCGGGGAGGAAAACATTTTTCAACTCTACAGCGTGTGGTTTAGTGGGGAAAACCAGACATTGAATCAGATAATCACACAAATGTAGACTTCTGCTGGGGCCAGCGCCACGGGCGAGCATTTCAAGGTGCTATAAGAAAGAATATTTGACCTAGTCAAGGGAAGTTAACGTGGCAAGAAGGGGTAGGAACCATATTCCAGGCAGGAGGAGCAGCATTCTGGGCAAGCGTTTTTCAAACTATCTATGGTGAAGGACCTGCTTCCTCCCATCCGCCAATGGCACTGCTGTTGATTCTTGACTGGTATGTCGCTTGTGCGGACCATGTGTGTTTGACAATATCTCAGCTGTTGAGACTTGTCCGGCTGATCCACGCATTTGGATACTGAAACAAAGCCACATGCAGGAAATGTTTCCAAAGGCTGCAGTGGACTGGTAGCAGTTTGTAGACCATTAAAATGTGCAGACCACACTTTATAACTGCTCCAGACAGTGAGAACAGCATGTGCAAAGGTCCTGTGGTAGGAGGCAACTTGGTGACTATGAAGGAAGAGAGAAAGACTAGTGTCAATGGAAGATGAAGAAGAAGGTGGGAAAGTCAGTGGGCCTGGGCCTCAAGGCCACAGTAAGAATCTGAGACTCAGATGGAGATGTTTCCATCCTGGTGGAGAAGGGGAAGTTGTCTTGACTGCTTCCTAGCTAATAGCTTGAGAAAATTAACAGGCGAGACATTTGGCTACAAAGATGCATTGTGTGATTTAGGCAAATAGTTCTCCTCCTTTACCACCGATGTAGGTTCAGTGGCATTTCAGCTTCCCAGAGCAGGGAGGATCCTTGCCTTGGTGTGAGTGGGCCTGCTGGAGTGTGTCCAGGTGGTCGCAGAAGCACCTCCAGTTCCCTGACAGATGCTGCCAGCTGCTCAGGCTCCTTACGGTACCCATGCCACTGGCAGGAAGTTGGAGACACGCTTGCTGTTGCTATCTGGGTGTGAAGCTACCTCTCCTGGAGACCTTGTGAATTCCAGCTGTTCCTGTGAATTCATACGGAGCATGTGACAAGAGTCTATGTTGCAGTCCTTTCTCTGCCACTCTGAGGTTTAATGGTATCCATGGGTACCAGGTGAAGGGTGGGCATGGCACAAATCCCGAGTGGACCTGGCCCTTGCCCACAGTGCCCCATTCTGAGCTCTGTTCTGATTTAAGAATGCAGTGCTCTCTGCCTGCTCGGGCTGACTTCTGTGGGCATCTGGGAGGGACTTTTGGTTTCCAGCTTCATGCGTGTGGAGTCTCGATGTTGACTTCGGATCACTTTGCTTTTCTGCCTTGCTGGGCAGAAGAGGGTAGGAGAGAAAAACGTTGACCTGTGGTTTCTCTGTGCAGGTACTTCGTGCTGGATTTCGAGGCTGGCATCCTGCAGTATTTTGTGAATGAGCAAAGCAAACACCAGAAGCCGCGAGGAGCCCTGTCTCTGTCCGGAGCCATAGTGTCCCTGAGCGACGAAGCTCCGCACATGCTGGTCGTGTACTCTGCTAACGGAGAGATGTTTAAACTGAGAGGTGCGTCCTTCTCCCGGCCATTTTGCAGACAGGCCTCGTGGGCTATGTCTATTGTTGCCATGGCGATGGCGCTCTTGATTTTCTACTTTTTGTTTTTTTTAAATTACCGTTGACAGTTTGCTGTGTGGGGAGCACTCTGATGACACACATTGCTCCTCTTATCCCTGGGGTGGGGAGATGGAGCTGACATTAGGAATGCCTCGTCCTAATTAACTGAGGAATTAAGGAGAAAGGAGAAGTGAGTGATCACCAAGGCAGCCTTAGGACTTTGAAGATCTTGAGTATTAGCTCAGTACGTTTTCTTTGACCTAACAGTGTGACTCTTCACTCTAGTGCCCTGTGCGAGCTGTGATGTGAGGGCTAAACAGGCCCTCTAAAGATCCTAGTGTCCTCCCTGCAAAGTTTCTCTAGTACCATTTCTTAGTAAAGTGCCCCTTTATTTGAGTTTTATTCAATCCGCCTTAGTAGAGCCTGCTGAGAAGCCTCCCGGAATGGAGTTAGTGACCCTTTGCAGGCTTCATTCCCTTTTCTTTGCTCCTTCAAAACGGATATCGTTGCTTTAACAACGAAAACAAGAAAATAAATACCTGCCCAGCATCCTAGAAAGGAGGATGACTTTCCAGGGAGTCCAGCATTCACCCTCAAGACACATCCGTTGCACAGAAATGTCAGACTTGTAATAAAATTACAGTGTAATTGGATTGCTAGATCATTCCACCAGGATCTGTTATGGTTGCATTGCTGTGATTTTTCTGCCACTTCTCTTCTAATAAAATAATGAAACAGCGAATCCAAATGCCCACATGTGCACGTGTGTGTGTGCGTGCGCACACACACACACATACATACACACACACACACGCACACACGGATATGCAGAGTCTATATTATTTATCAAGGCCTGAGAAAAGGTAGTATGTATTAAGTATTGAGAGGTGGTTGAAAATTCTGCCTTTTTAATGTAACCTTTTCTTTTGACTAAGTAAGAGCTAAGTACGAAGAAAGGCTGCCTGCTGTCTGCACTTGACCGTGACTGGCTGCCTCTGCAGAGGCTGACGGAGGAACTAGACTCCTCACCTGCAGCCCAGTTTGCACCCTTCTACTGCCAAGCTTTACTACCCAAGAGATAGAATAAACTAATGTTTATTATCCATATACAAGTCATGTTTCAGAATCTATAAAACAATCCGAAAACCTATGAAGTAAAAATGTCCATAGTTGACAAACATTTTTCAGGAATGTGGTAAGATTCGTGCTGTCTTTGGGGATTCCAGCTGGCTAGATTTATGTGGTCCTTGGCTTCGCTTTGCCGTTTATTGCTTAATAAATTATCAGTGCAGAAACAATAGCCGGCGAAAAACTGAATGGCACTCTCCACCCTGCCTTTGGTTTATAAAATGACACAAACGCGTGCAAAAGAAAAATCCAACTAATTTGACAGTTGAACAATTGAGCCGTCTTATTTTGCCATGGAATCGTTAATATCCTTTGGATTATTAAACCCTAGGGTTTTTTTAGAGGGCAATTTAATAGCAAATACAGAGGTTTTATGATCTGCATGGAATAGTCGTCAGTGCTAAATTTAGCTAAAACTTAACTATAAAAAAGTCAAGGTAAATTTCTGCACGTATATGGCTTGTCCTTAGCCCGTCCCACAAGGAACTGGCTGTTGGTGTCTCATTTCACATCTTACCTGTACGCAGTAGGAGTCGGATCATGATGTCATGAGACGCACAGCTTTTGGGAATATTTTTGATGCGAAGCCTTTGGCTAGTACTGCCGCAAACTGGCAATTTCCTCAAGTTTGCTAAGGAAAAATACCCTACTTTCTGCAAAACCCTTTGTCTTTGGAAGTTCATTTCACCTGGAACTCTGTAAATCAAACTTGCGCAATAGACCTCTCGACAGACACATCATTTGGGATTTGGAGGGGCCATCTTTATGCTGTAAGTGGACTAAGCCAAAGAATTTCCCACTTGGTAACTCAAGATTTCTTCTCTTGAAAGTTTGCACTGAAGTCAGGTTTTATGGACAAAATGATACTTAGTCCCAGTTTTTTAAACAGTTATGGTTTCCAGGGAATCATTGTTTTTTGCTTTTCGTAGTCAACCTTGACAGCTAGTATTATAATATTTATGCAGTTAGTTATGTGGCTAAATTGATGATTTAGGTTTCATTAGAGCCTGTTATGTGCCCATGATATTTAAGAATAACTTTTTATATATATTATTTGAGAGATAGGGTATACGTGGAAGAACATGGCTATACAATACGACTACTTGTACGTTAATGTCTGTGTGGGGAAATTTGAGGCTCCCTAAGGCAGCATTTGATATCTTCCTCTGTCCAATCATGTCAGTCTTAACAAATATTAAAATGGTAATTCAACTGCATGCCTGTTTTGTAAATGCTAATAACACCACAGTACCGCTCTGGTACTTAGCAAAGCCCCTGAAAAAGTGCCCTTTGCTACTCCTAAGAAGCTAACCAAGGTTAGAGGCATTTGAAAATGAGCATGTGCTTCCTTCCCTGCTGCCTTTTTTAAGAAGTATTATAGAAATGATTTTTTCAGAGGAGATTTAAAAAATGGCAAAATTATTCTTATAAAGAGTATTTCAGAATCCATTTTTCATGTGGCTCAAGAGAGGATTTTCCGCGGAGAGTCAGTGCAGTCTGTGTTCTGGTGGAAGTACAGGCCGCTCGCTGGCTTCCCCACCTTCCCTCTACCCTTCACTCTCCAGGCTCCCCACCCGCTTAGGTGGGTGTAGAAATAAGCTGGTTGTGTTTTGGAGGCATCTCTGCAAGCATTTCTTTGTCTGTTTTCTCTATTTTAGCTGCTGATGCAAAAGAGAAACAGTTTTGGGTGACTCAGCTTCGAGCTTGCGCCAAATACCACATGGAAATGAATTCTAAGGTAAGTAACCATTAGGAAGGAGGCATTCAAATAACCTGCGTGGCTTTTAGCCCCATTATTTGTTTCTATGGGGAAGGTGTTTTTCATGTTAGTTTTAAAGTTACCCGCTGCGGTGGAATCCCTACCTGTCCTGCAGCACATCAATTTAAAGCCAGGAGTAAAGTAGCAGGATGTTCTCCTAGGTAGGATACAAAGGCACGCAGACGCTGTAGGAACCGAATCTGGAAAGTAACTTTCGCGTTCTGTCGTCAAATGAGGCAGCTGTTAATTGGTCTGTTGAGACGCTCTAGTGGATGATTTCATTTTGGAGGCAGAGTTGCCAGATTGACAGTCTGTGAACACTTGTAGCCGTCACTGATCCTTCAATAAAACTGAGACCCCCGAATTGCTTCTGGACTTCGTAAGGAACTTCTGCGTTCCTAGTGTATAAAAATGTTCTCCGGTAATTTGGCATCCAAGCATGCTTTATTTCCTCCTGGGGATGTTGTGTTAGGTGTGCGGTGGGTAGGAGGTGGGCATTTTCGTGGATTACTGTGGAGGATTTGCAGTCATTGTAATACAGGAAATAATTTCAAAATACATTTATGTAGGGCAATAAGTATTGGTTAAAATTAATGTTCCAGGGGATACTCCTTTCAATCGTTAGTTCAAATATAGTTTTTGTATCCAACTGCTATCTTTTTCCATATTCCAGGCGTCTGGTAGAAAGGTCCATACTTCAAACTTCTGATGATTCTGTAGACTAGAGCCTGCCTGCTCTCTGGGTCAGGGTCATGTGAGATGTCTTAGATATACCTCGCTGTTCTGTCTCCAAATAGAAACTAAAATAATTTCTTCATAAGGCTTTTTTTTTTTTTTTAAAGAGACATCCCCTTTTTTCCTTGACTTGCTTATGATAGTGGCACTCACCCGTCATGCCTTCCTTAGCTTACCCTGAGCTGAATCTTCAGGAACTGTAGGTACAGCCCTATTTCTAATGCATTTTCCCCCAGCTGGCCTTCTTTATTATCTAAGAATTATAGTAGGATTTCTGGACACTTACTTGGAACTTTCTATGCACCTAGGCAGTGCAGTTTGCTTTTGTCTTTTTATATGTATCTTTTTACTTTTTATAAACCAGAACAGAAGAGGATCAAAGTAAAAGGACTTAGCCCCACCTATTGCCATATGTGCTCGTTAGTTGCTCTTAACCTTTCTTGCTTATCTTTCTAGTAAATGTAGGCATGTGTTCGTATGCCTTGGTATGTGTATGTGTATATATCTGTATATATACATCTGTTTTTTACATAAATGGGGTCACATGCATACTAGTTTTGTTGTTATTGTGGTTTTGAGACAGAGTTTCACTCTTGTCACCCAGGCTGGAATGCAATGGTGTGATCTTGGTTCACTGCAATCTCCGCTTTCCAGGTTCAAGCGATTCTCCTACCTCCGCCTCCTGGGACTACAGGCATATGCCACCATGCCCAGCTAATTTTGTATTTTTAGTAGAGACAGGGTTTCTCCATGTTGGTCACGCTGGTCTCGAACTCTTGACCTCAGGTGTTCTGCCTGCCTCGGCCTCCCAAAGTGCTGGGATTACAGGTGTGAGCCACCTCGCCCAGCCTCTTTTTTTTTTTTTCTTAATAATATAGTTTTGAGATCTTTTTATATTAGGCACATGAATTTACTTTTAGTTGCTCTTAAGTGTTCTTGCATATCTTTCTAGTAAATGAAGGCATGTGTTAGTATGTCTTGGTATGGGTATGTGTATATATCTGTATCTATATATATACATGTTTTTACACAAATAGGATCACATGCATACTGTTTTATGTCTTTTTTTTTTTTTTTTTTTTTTTGCTTAATATATTTTGAAATCTTTTTATATTAGGCACATGGATTTACTTTCACTTTTTTTTGTATGGCCAGATGGTGTTCTTAGGAATGGATGTCAGTGATTTATTTAAGTCTCCTACTGATGGAAAGTTAGAGTTGCTTCCTTATTGTTATTGTCACATATAATGCTGTAATATGTGACATCTTTGTGCGTATATATTCTTATACCTCTAGGTGTATAATCTATAGGATGAATTTATACCAGTGGAATTGCTGGATCATAGAATATGTCTTTGAAATTTTCATCGGCGATGCTAAATTGTCTTGTACAACAGTTGCCCTTATTTTTCCTTCCGCTATTCTGTGTGAAAGGGTTTGTTTCCCCCATCATTAACTGGGTGTTGTTAACATTCAGGTTTTTATATTCTCACAGTTCAGAAATGGATACCTCATTATGTTTAATTTCATGTCTAAAATCATGACTGGGGCCAAGTATGTCTTCAAATGTTTATTGGCCATTTAAAAAAATAATACGGACTGCCAATTTATATTCTTGTTTTTCTATTGAGCTTATTTTTTCCTCTTGATTTGCAGTAGCTCTTTGTGGACAAAGGATTTTTTTTTTTTTTTTTTTTTTTTGCCTGTCATTTGTACTGTCGATATTTTTTTCTAGTAGACAGTTTGTATTTTGAATTTGAATAAAATTTTTGCTATGTGGAATATTTAAGTTTTTGCAGTCAAGTTTATGAATATTTTTATTTTTGGCTTTTGGTTTTGTATCGTAGTTAGAAAGGGCCCCTCTGCTGCAAAATTATGAAAATATTCTTCACTGTTTTCAAGGAGTTTATAGGTTAGTTATCATATTTGAATCACTGATTCATCTGGAATTTATTTTGGGGGTGGGAATTGAGGTAGGGGAACCAACTTTAAGTACATTAATATTTCAATGAATCATTGCAGAGAAGAAAAATTGAAGGCATCTTAATAGTAGTAAAAAAAAAAAAAGAATTTGAATATTCTTGGAAGCAGAATTTGATTTCCTGATGTATTCTCTGGTTAGCTTCGGGGATACTGACTCATCTATTAATATTAGAATCAAAATAAATAATAATTTAGAAGTTTAGGCCTGGAGAATTCTTATTTGACAACTGGAGATGAAAGTGCTATTACCACTCATCTGCATCCTAGCTAGCATGATCAACCAGGGAATAATAATTTTAAAACTGTGAATAGACCTTATTATTCAGCATTATCAAATTCAAGGCTGCTTAATCAGAAGTTAAATAGTGAAAACAAAGAGAGGTTCAACGTGAATATAAACTTGATGTCTAGTTTACTATAGTATAGCTACTTAATTTGCATCATGGATTTTAGGAATATATGCCAAGCTCTCCTCTTCACTATGTTTCTTCTTTATTCTCAGCAGATCAGATCCCTTCACAGAAGACTATAAAGAATGTTTTCCCTACAGCTGCTTGGAATTTTTCCTTTTAAAAACTCCTAGTGTAGTCTGGGCATGGTGGCTCATGCCTGTAATCCCAGCACTTTGGGAGGCCGGGGTGGGTGGACTATGAGGTCAGGAGTTCAAGACCAGCCTGACCAATATGGTGAAATCCTGTCTCTACTAAAAATGCAAAAAAGTAGCCAGGTGTGGCGGCGGGTGCCTGTAATCCCAGCTACTTGGGAGGCTGAGGCAGGAGAATCACTTGAAACTGGAAGGTAAAGGTTGCAGTGAGCCGAGATTGTGCCACTGCACTCCAGCCTGGGTGTGACAGAGCAAGACTCCATCTCAAAAAAAGAAAAAAGCCATATAACCTCTTATGTAAAATCGTGTTCAGGGTGGGGGGAAAATATTATGTTCCCTGGAACAAATATTAGGCAGCTAAAAATGGTACTATAATTCAAACTCATTTTAGTAAAATACCAGGATAGGCAGATTCATAGAACTCTAGAGCTGAAAAAGGCTTTAAGGAGGGCCCAGACAGTGGTTTCAAAACCCAGACCTGCCTTAGTCGCTACCTGATGATGTTTTCCTCAGTCTGGAAGTGAAATGAGAAAAACAAGGAGAGAATTATTCCCAAAGACAGCTTTATTCAAAATAAATGACTGCTCTTCTTTTAAAAAATTATGTTACTTTGCTTTTGAATAGTTAAAATATTCTTTCTTTTCATTGTAGACGATAAGAGAATATTGATTGCAATTTTTAAAAATTGAGGTTCATTGGAGTATAATTTGCATACAGTAAAATTGACTGCTTTTAAGTGCAAAGTTGAGTGAGTTTTGACGAACGTATAGAGTCATGTAATCACCACTGTACTCATAATTCCACCCTGCCAGCAAGTTCCCTCATTACGTGCTTTATGATCAAGCTCCTCTCTGACCTCTCAGCAACTGGCAACTCCTGATTGGTTTCCTATTTATAGTTTTGCTTTTTCTAGAATGTTCTATAAGTAGAATTATACGGCTTTTCACATCGAACTTCTTTTACTTACAAAAAATTTTTGAGGCTGGTTGTGGTGACTCACACCCTGTAATTCTAGCACTTTGGGAGGCCGAAGCAGGTAGATTGCTTGAATCTGGGAGTTCAAGACCAGCCTGGGCAACATGGCAAAACTCTGTCTCCAAAAATTTAGCTGGCCATGGTGGCACACATCTGTAGTCCCAGCTTCTCAGGCAGCTGAGGTGGGAGGATTGCTTGAGCCCAGGAGACAAAGGTTGTAGCAAACTGAGATTGCAACACTGTACTCCAGTCTGGGTGACAGAGCGAGACAGTGTCTCAAAAAAAAAAAAAAAAAAAAGCTTTTGAGTTTCATCTATGCTGTTGTGTGTATCAGTAGTTGATTCTGTCTTTACATTTTAGCTATTTTATTGGAAGTATGGTACTTTTTCTTAATATTCTTACTTGCAAAAATCAAAAGTGTGAATAAGTCAATTCCCAGACTTAAAAAAGCAAAAACATGTATTGGCCTTTGCAATTCAGAGGTCTGGCTATCCCACCCGGCCTGCATTGGTTTATACACAAGGAAGCCCCAACCTGGAGCCTGTGTTGCTGGGACGGGAATCTGGGTCTCCTGATCTTCTAGCCTCACAGATGTCAGTTAGGGCTACCATTTGCTTCCCTCTGTGGCTGGCGGGGCCCCTTCTAGGACAGTTTCTGATTCTGGATGGACAGAAACTGACAA